CAAAAAGTAATATCACCAATTTCATGTTCCTAATATATTCCAAGTTTCCCCCTTCACAAAACAGAATTGTGTCGTCTGCAAACTATAGATGGGTGAGGGTGGTTTCCTCCCTTCCAACTCCCCATCCTCTAATGACACCCCTAGAGTCTACTTTATAAGTCAATCTCCCCAGAACATCAGCAATCAAAGTGAACATGAATGGAGATAGGGGATCCCCTTGTCTTATACCCCTAATCACTGGAAAGAAATCTACCACTATCCCATTCACAAGTATAGAATAATGACAATTCCGAACACAGCCCATAATCCATTTGCACCATCTAGCCCCAAATCCAAAATTGATCATAACTCTCCTTAAAAAATCCCAATCTACCAAATCATATGCCTTTTCCAGATCCAACTTACATACCACACCCTTCTTTCCATCCTTTCTGACATTTTCAACACTCTCATTCGCAATTAGGATTTGATCTGTAATTTGTCTTCCACTCACAAAGGCTCATTGATTTGGTGTAATGATATCAGGCAATACTTCCTTCAATCTCAGAGACAAAACCTTTGCAAGGATTTTGTACAAGCTATTTACCAAACTGATTGGCCTGAAATCCTCTAGATGGGATGTATCTTTCCTTTTCGGAACCAAAGCTAGAAAGGTGGAGTTCACACCCCGGTTAACCACTCCTCTCCTGTGAAATTCCTCAAACACCATCAACAGATCACCTTTCAATGAAACCCAGCAGTCTTGGTAAAAAGCCATTGTGAAACTATCCAAACCTGGAGATTTTGTTCTATCCATAGAGAATACAACCTCCTTAATTTCTTCCAACTCAAACCTTCTTTCCAACCCCCTCCTGTTATATAACCCCTACATCTGGCCAGTCCAAACCTACTAACCACACCCCCTATTCACAGGCCTTCTTAGAATAGATTTAAAATGTCCTACAAGGGCCCCTGCAATCTCCTCTTCCTCCCATTAGCCAAAGAATGAAAGAACCCGGTATTCCTATCTCCCTCTTGCAACCATTTACATCTAGATTTCTGCCTCCAACTTATTTCCTCCTTATGTAGGCAGTCATCTAATTGTCTTCTCAAACCTCTTCTTTGTTCCTTGTCTACCTCTCCAAAATCTCCCCTTTCTTCTTTCTCATCTAAGCTCTCAAGTAGGTCCATCAAAGTTCTCTTCTTTCTTCAAGCCCTCCAAACTCCAATTGATTCCATTCCTTGATCTTTGCTTTCAGAAATTGTAATTTCTTATGGAACCTCATCCCTTCCCATTTCACCCCTGGATTACACTCATTCCACCATTCCCTTACTCTTTCAGTGAAACCAGGATGAGATAACCACATATTTTCAATCCTAAAAGGGGAGGGTCCACCATTCCACCTTTGCACCTTGCTAATCACTATAGGCCAGTGGTCAAAGGTCAATCTTGGAAGAGCTCTAGAATCTAAGTTCCCCCAATGTTCTTCCCAATCCAAAGAGAACAGGAACTATATAACTTGGAGCAAATGGGATTCAATTGGAGATTTGACCAAGTGAATGTTCTGTGGGCTAAAGGTATCTTTCTAAGTTGAAATGTATCCACAAACCAGTTAAACTTCCTCATACTAGTTGTCACCCTTTGATTGGTATTATTGTTTTCCTCCATGAATCTAATCACATTAAAGTCCCCACCCACACACCAAGGACCATCCCAGAGCCCTCTAATATCAGCCATCTCCTCCCATAATTCTTCTCTCTCTCTATAGTCATTTGGTCCATAAACATTTGTGAGCACCCACACAAACCCATCCTCTTGCTGCTTGAACTTCAGTGATACTAAGTATTTTCTAATTAGTTCCTCCAATCCTTCAACTGTATCCCTCTTCCACATTGTCACCATCCCCCCTGAAGCACCTCAAAAGGGAGTAGCCACCCAGCTAATTCCTCTAGCTTTCCAAACACTCCTTGCCCATCTATTATTAAACTCCATTCTCTTGGATTCCTGCATTAAAACAATGTATGGGTCAAACCTCTTTAGTACCTCTTTAATCGTAGCTCATTTCCTCGCACTTCCTATGCCTCTCACATTCCAACTATCTTCATATTCACTCCTTCCTTAGCTCCCTACTTCAACTCACCACTACTTCCCCTTTCCTTCTATCTCCTTTTACCCCAAAACTCTTATCACCTTCCACATCTCTTTTCAGTCTCTCAACTTCACTCAATTTTCTTTTCTTTATTTTGAATTCCTTCTTCTTCTTTTATAGGCCACTCTTCAACCCATTTAAATCTTCCATTCTACATCCTAGCTTCCCCACAAAGTCTGCTATCAGATCTTCTCTGTTAGATCCCTCCACCATTGTTCTGTCTATATATTCCTCTCCATTTCTCCCCACCTCTCCTTCTCCCCTCTAAACTGATCCCTCCCCTGTTCTCTCCTATAAATCCTTCCTCCTCATCATGTTCTGTTCAACTTCACTGAATATTTTTTCAATAATTTCCCATACTTTCACATTCCTATATCTTCCTTCCATCATTTCCTCACAATCCATCAATCCCTTCTCCATAACTTTATAAGACCCACCATCTTGGCTGGCTACACATTCACGATCCGTTGGACTCGGAAAGGGAGCAGAATCTGGCACATAAGACGCAGAAGCAACATTAGTAGCACAAAAAGAATTCACAAGATTACCTGGGTTTGATTGGCAAGTTAGGAAAGTACACAGGACATTATACCCAGCCTTCCTTCCTTGTTCAGAGGATTGGTCTATAACTGTCTCCCTGGGTTGGTTGGGAAGCGTTTTTGTCCTTTGGACAACATGGCTAACTCTCCTCTCTACCCTTGATTCACCCCTTATTAGTATATTCCTGCTCTGCCTCAGGTTCTCCCGTTTATCCCCTTCTTTTGTGCCCCGTACAATCTGTAATCTTGGGAGTGGGTTATTCCGGCTACTCTCTTTATCCCCATTTGCTTCACAAGACCCAAGCTTGCTTCCACCACCTACCAGACCTTCCTGGCCGTCTGGACTAGACATCCATTTCTCCTCCAAGTCCCCCTGAAAAAAATACGCACAGTTCAGCAAACCCATCTCATCCACATCACACCCAGCCTTCGTCCACCTCCTCTCTTTCTTTGTTTCTTTCTCTTGTATACCATGGATTCGGTTTCTCTAAGAAACATTGCATTGAGCTACAATTCTCTAGATTTCCGCGAGGCATCCATTGCAGACCACCCTGTTTTCCTTCTCTCCGCCGCTGCAACTTCTCATCAGCAAAACTCGCGAATGAAGAAGATGATAGACTGAATTTTCGATCTGCCATCGCTACCTATTCCAAACCCTTGCCCCGACCCATGTGAGGCTTTAAGTTATCATGTGGTTCACTTAAAATGCCTTTCGGTTTAATGGTCGACCCGCCCATCATTTTAAGCAGCTCGGACCATGCATTTCGCCTATTCTGTCCTTTAAACTTCTTCGCCACATCAGCAGATGAAAAGTGGCCCGCACATGGGTACTTTACATTACCGCTCGGTTTAGTATTTGGCCCGCCCAACACCGGTTCATAGCATAAGAGAGGTGGCCCGCTTTGACTGAATTCAATTCTATTAAGTTTACATGCTGGTTATTGTGCCAAATGTTGTTTATTGACAAAATAGTACTAATTGAAAAGCCTAGAGTAGAGATAAATGCACATTGCAAAGACAAAATTATAAAGAAATGCTTTAAACTCAAGAGACACCTCAGAAAAATGTGAGAATAAGACAAAGTACATGCACTGCAAATTTAACAATGGGTAGAAATGATAGTACAACCAAGATTCAAAATTTTGATATGTAACGGGCCATATCGAATGTATCGGGGGCTTCCCGATACGCCCCTGCAGGAGGTGTTTTGGGGTTTAACCCGGTTCAGGGGGTAGACAGGCCTTAAACCAACCCCTCTGAACCGGGTTTAAAAAAAAAACTAAAAAAATAGGGGAGCGAGCCCCGATACAGTCCGATGCGCCCCTACCGGTGTATTGAGCTGTATTAAAATTTTGAACCTTAGGTACAACTAAAATCCTTTACCAAGAGACACCTCAAAGAAACCATGGGGTTGAAAAGGATATCCTACATAACTTGAATCTATAATGACTAAATTTTAAATATTTTGTAAGCAATAATAAAAGCTTTGGCCTTATTTGGTAGTAATTCGCACTTTTACTTTTAAGAGTACAAAGCACATAGCAAAAGTACCAACGTACAAAGCACATAGCAAAAGTAAATGTTGGTACTTATACTTTGAAAACCATTTGGATGAAAATTTTTCCAAAACATGTTTTTCAAAGTAAAAGTAAATATTGGTGTTTAGATACAACAATATGTTTTTTTTGTGTGTGTGTGAATACCACGTGGCATCATATATGGATGCAACATGGCACACACACATGTCAATAACATGTGAATGTCATGTGGCATCTAAACATGGGGTCAATGCCATGTGGATGCCATGTTGTAGCATACATGGATGTCACAAGGCATTTGATGTCAATTATAATATATTTCATGTTGGCAGAATAGATGGATGTCAATGATAATATATGCTGCCACATGGCTTATGAATGTTGAGTCAATAACATGTGGATGCTACATCGCAAGATATAAAGATGCCATGTGGCATCTGAAGGTAAGGCAATGATACATGGATGCCACATGGCACACAAATCACTGAATACATTAATGTGCCTATGCTTCCACTTGGCATTCATATATGCTTCCACATTTTTTTTATCAGAAAAAGAGAACTTTATTTGAATTTAGGATTAGATTAAAGTTTTACAGCTTTGTGTATGGGGGATTAATGCTCACACACTAGTACATATTTCTGTCCCACTTTACATTGCAGCCCAAAACAATTGTTGCCTCAAAGCCCCTTGTTTAGCAAGATAATCAGCTAGCCCATTTGCACTCCTAACCCATTTGAATTCAGCCTCTACCTCCTTTGCAACCTTTTCCACTTCCCTTATCACTTGTTTGAAAGTCCACATGGAGTACTTTTATTGTTTTTAGCCCAAGAGATGATCACCTTGAATCCCCTTCAACCTCAATATGCCTCAGTCCTAGCTGCTTAGCTATCTTTAGCCCTTGTAGCAATGCCATTAACTCAGCTTTTAGAGAGTTGCCAATGCCAACCGGTCCAGAGAACAATACTAATATTCTCCTTTCAGAATTTCTGATTATTCCTCCAATACCTTACAGTCCCAGATTTCCAAGAGAGCTTCCATCAAAATTCAATTTAACCATGTTGCCTTCTGGAGGTTTCCATTCCATCCTTACTTTCTCTTTCACTCTTGAGGATTGTGCTACTTTTGTCCAAGATCTTAGAATGTCGGTGACTAAGAAGTCTTGAAAGATAATGCAAAGATTTTACCCAATGAGCTATTTTAACTTTAATGGTGTTGATTACCTCCTCCATTGTTCTACTCTTCTCCAAGAATATTCTGTTATTCCTTTCTTCCCAAATCACCTAACAAATAGTTGCCTTCATAGCTTTCCACATAACCTTCTCTCTTTTCTTTGGTTGGCTCAAGAAGTCTCGGTTGAAAAGTCCTACAACATCTTGAGGGGAAACCCACCTGCAACCAAAGAGAGTACAAAAAAATTCCCAAATGTGATGCACAGAGGAACAAGATAATAATAGATGTACTAGGGACTCACCACTTTCCTTACAAAGGGAGCACATGTGAGGAGAAAGGCAAGCAAAAGGCCTTCTTCTCTGTAACATATCACAAGTATTTACCTTGTCAAGGAAAATTCCCAACAGAAAGCTTGAATTTTTGGGAGGATAGGCTTACTTCAAATTTCTTTCATAGGGAAATCCCCAACTGGGATGCTAGGTGAAGCAATAACACTAAAAAAGGAAAAACACAAGAAGAGGCCATCTAAAGAGCCTTTCCATATTCTGGAATCTTCCAAGGATGGGTCCAAGTGAACTTGTCCTATTAGATCTAACAACTGAACTGAAGAGTCACGTTCATTTTCCCTGAGGCCCCTTCTGAAACCCGGATTCCAATTGACCCCATTTGGACCAGGTGTTCCCAAATTACATACAATTTCCCCTTTAAAATTTGACAAAGTATAGAGGTCAGGAAAAAGATCTTTAAGTGAGATTTCTCCCACCCAAAGGTCTTTCCAGAAATGAACTTTATTGCCCTGACCCACATCAAGTCAAATGGAATTAAGGAAGGTAGGGTAGATTTCATAAATTGCTTTCCAAGGAGACGTTGAAGAAACATGAGGGGCAACTTTTGCATCCCAACCATTTCCATCCAAACCATGAAAACTCTAAATGACTTTGTGCCACAATCTATCACTCTCAAAAAGGAATTTCCACAGCCACTTTCCTAGCAGAGCTGAGTTCCTAAGTGAAAGGTTTCCTATTCCCAAACCCCCCTTGATCCTTGGGCTTTTTAACTTGATCCCAATTAATCAGGTGAACCTTCCTCTCCTCTCTTGGGTCCCAGGGGAAATCTCTCATGTATTTCTCTAAGTTCCCTTGCTACTCTACAGAGTATTCTAAAGGTTGAAAGGAAGTAAATACGGAGGTTCGCCAAAGTGGCTCTAGTCAAGGTTATCCTTCCACCTAGAGAGATATAATTCCTCTTCCACAAAGCTAGCTTCCTAAAAAATCTTTCAATGATTGGTTTCCAAAACCCTTCTAATCTAGGGTTTCCTCATAAAGGTAAACTCTAGTAGCTAATTGGCCAACTTCTAATTTCACACCCCAAAATCTCTGCGAATCTATGGAGTCAGCCCCTCAAAGTTATCCAATAGCAACTTTAGGTTTACCACTCCTTCCTCATCACCTCCCTCACAAGAAAGGATTGTATCATCTACAAAATTGGAGGTAGGTAACAACCACTTGATTCCTACCTATCCTCCACCCTCTAATCAGTCCTTGGAAATCAACTTTCGCCACCATTCTGCTTAACACCTCAGCCACTAGAGTGAAGAGAAAAGGGGATAAGGGGTCTCCTTGCCTAATTTTCTCTCAACCGGAAAGAAATCCTTCACTACATTAATAAGAATTGAGTAATGGACAGAATTTAAACATCCTCTAATCTAAGATCTCCATTTGGTTCCAAAACCCAAGCTTTCTAACGTTTGAAGAATTTCCCAGTTAACCATATCGTAAGCTTTCTCTAGGTCCACTTTACACACCAACCCTTTTCCTCTACCCTTTCTTTTTTCGGCAACACACTCACTAAAATTTGATCCACAATTTACCTTCCTTCCACAAAGGCACCTTGGAAAGGTGAGATGATCGAGGGTAGCACTTTCTTGATCCTTTCTAAGAGAACCTTTGAAATAATTTTGTATACACTCCCAACAAGGCTAATTGGCCTATAATCTTTAGGAGTTTTGGCCTCCCTCTTCGGAATTAAAGTGATAACAGTGGCATTCACCCCTCGAGACACCTCTCTCCTTTGAGAATGAATTCATTGAACACTTCTAGAATATCAGTTTTCAGCCAATCCCGACATTCTTGAAATAAGGCCATTGAAAATCCATCTGGCCTAGGGGCATTAGATCTTTCCATGGAGAAGATTGCATCCTTGATTTCTTCCAAAGTAAAATTCCTTTCAAAAAAAAAAAGAGAATGCTCTTCTGAAAGCCTATCCCCTTCCATTTTTGGTAGCTCTAAAGTCGCCCTGCTTGAATTTGTGAAAATTTCCTTGAAGTGGTTTACAAAGATCCTTGTGATCTCCTAGCTCTCTCTTACTTCCTGACCCCCCCCCCCCTCCTCCACACTAAGGATTAGATTTTCCTTTCTCCTTCCGTTTGCAATTGCGTGGAAAAACTTAGTGTAACCATCTCCTTCAACAAACCATTAACACCTTGATTTCTATCTCCAACAGATTCCCTCCTTCCTTAATATCTCTTCCAAATCTTGTTTGATTTTCCATCGATCCTCTCTCTCTTCTTCTGATAAAATTCTGATAGCCTCTTTCTTGTCTAGCTCCTCAATCTTCCTCACTATGTTATCTTTTATTTCCTCTACCCTCCCAAAATGCTCTTTATTCCATTCTTTTATTTTCCCTTTTAGCCTCTTTAATTTCCTAGCAAAGCTTAATATTTTCATACTCCCCAAAGGTTTGAGTTCCCACCACCAATCCTTCAATCTGGTCTTAAATGTGTGATCCTTAAACCACATTTTCAAATCTAAATGGAGTAGGGCTGCCCCCTGGAAGTTCCTTTTCAATGGAAATGGGGCATTGATCTGAAATAACCCTAAGTAGCCCTTTCACTACTATTGAGCCCTACAATTCTTCCCAATCAAGAGTAATGAGAAACCTATCCAGTTCGAAACAGGTTGGGGGGCATTGAAAATTTGACCAAGTATAGTCCACCGGTAGCATCAGAGGTTCACTCAATTCAAAGGAATCAATTAAGCTATTAAACTTCCTCATGTTGGTAGTGATTCCTTGATTCGGGTTCTTTGTTTCCCCCGAATATCTGATGACATTGAAATCACCTCCCACACACCATGGTCCCTCCCAAATTCCCCTAATAGCACATAACTCCTCCCGAAAAGCCTCCCTGTCTCTATAGGAGTTAGGACCATATACGTTGGTTACCACCCATTCTCTCCCAATCAATTCCTCCACACATTCCCTTTCCTCATTCCTCCAAATGGTCAAAATCCCTCCTGAGGCTCCCCATGATGGGGCATACGACCATCTTAGGCCCCTGGCTCCCCAAATACTTCTTATCCATCTTCTATTCAGTTCTGATAATATGGTTTCTTGAATCAAGATCATAGCTGGTCTTTCTTTTCTAATAGTATTCTTCATTGCCCTCATCTTTTTGGCACTTCAAAGACCTCTTACATTCCAGCCAATTATCTTCATTTCAACCTTCTTGTGACCCCTTATCAAAAGCTGCCTAGTATTCCCCTCTTTCTTTTCAGGCTCCTCTTTTCCTTCTTCTCATAATTTATTCCACACTTAAGCTTCTCTAACTCGCTTTGCTTTCCTTTCTTCCTCAAATATACCTTACTTCCTTCAATCTTCCTTCCCACTCCTCTTTCCTTCTGACTCTTCTTTATAAGCATTACACGTGTGGTTGGTGCACATGTTTTAGAAAGTATCAAAAACCGACTCCATTCTTTTTGTGTTTTTTTTAATGTTTAGAGAACCAGACCGGACCGGACGATCAAACCGCTTGAACCGTGACTCTGGGCCATGTCTAAAAACCGATGAAAATCGGCTGACCATCCGATTTAACAGGAAAACCGGTCCCGGTTTCATGAAACCGCCTAGGTCACTAAGTAATTGAATTTCTAAAATGAGTGTAACAAGACTTGAACCCGTGACCTCTTATTTTCATATATTGCTTAATTACCACTAATCCACCTCTTTGCTTGTGTTATTTAATGGCTTTTTATTGTATATGTTACTTTATTACACACATATTTTAAAGAAAATGTAAATAAAGAGACTTGAACCTTGGTTGTTTGCTTTAAAAATTAGGGAAATTGCCATCCATCCACCATATTTAAGTATATTAAAAGTTGTAAAATATATTATATATAATATTTATATAACCCATAATATATATACATATATGCCACATCATCACGATTCAACCCCGGTTGAACCAATGACACGTGAACCTCTCCCTTATCCAGCTCTATGACTGGATTGGTTCTCTAAACATTGGTTTTTATACTTCTACTTCGTGCTTTTTAAAAGTAAAAAACATCAAACAAACGCAACCTTGTACTTTCATACTTTCAAAAGTATAAAAAATACTTTGAAAAGTACAACCAAACAGGGCTTTCAGTTATCAGCTAAAATCTAATATTCCAGAAACAAACTTGAACATGGCCTGAGTTAGAGCTAAGAGCTGTATAAGTAAGCCAAGCTAGCTTAGGGCAGTTTCGCTTCGTTTAAGCTTGGCTAGTTGGCTTATTCTTCTTTCTTTTAGTAAAACAATAATTCTGGGCCTCAATTGTTAGGTATACATTAGTAATTGAAGAGGCTTAACAAAATCTTGATTTAAACAGGCTAATACAAGGCTGTGACAAGCCCAAACCTGGCAAATACTTAGTAGGCAAAGTCTCATCTCATCACCATAGGCTCAAAATGAGCCAAAACCAAGCCTGAGACTAATTATTAGTCTAGGATCCCACAACCAGCTTGGCAAAGCTTGACATATTCACAGCCCTAGGTAGGAGTGATGGTAACTAGCAGTGTTGTCTGGCACGTTTTAAAAGGTTACCATTGATGACAAGTACAAGACTAGGGTGATTGCACCCTGGGAGGATTCTGCTTCAAGCCCCATGATGCATATGGCATTCCCAAACCAAACATTTGCAACATATAATGAGAGTTTAATGCCTACAAAGTCACATGTGACAGGAGCCAAACCTGTGCATGACCTAGTTGATGTGGCTGCTGATCTTGGGACCATGTGTATGCCTGTGGTTGTGACATTCGATAATATGGTTCTTTTAGATCAAATTTGCATGAAGAAGTCTGAAGTATTCCTCCTTGATCAGCACCAGCACCATACATTTTAGCTTTTAGAAGTAACTTACATGTTAGTTATTGATGCAACCCTTCATCAATGCCAAAACAGTACAAACAAAGAGCATAACAAATTCTCCAACCTGACATGGTTAGGTATATAGTATAACTCTGAGCATTATGAGCAACCATGTGAAACCGTCCTGTAATTTCTTGGCCAGCCATAACATATATTGGCTGAGAGAGAATGCAACGTAGTTGGTACCAGTGTGTTGTAGGTGAACCAGGAGCAGTGGTAAGCCACCTTTGTACAGTACTGCAGATTAAACCAGTTGGATGATTACAAGAATAAAAAGCACAAAGGAGCTGCAAAAAAAGAGACTTACAAAGAAAGGCTTCATGATTACCTCCCATTAAACAATACATCAAACCAACAGGCAAGCCCATGCACTCTAGTGCCCCCAGAGGCAATGAAACTAAGTGGGATATCAATTTCGTACAGCTCTTCTTCCTACAGAATTGAAGAAAATATGAACAGACATGTATTGAGAAGCAAAAAATTTCCTCTTTGAATATACATGGACAAGACAGCTGTTTTTCTCAAGGGGATAGACAAGGGAAGAGTCAAGAGAAATGTTTGACAGAGGAGGATCTATGCCATTTTTTTAGTAGGGGTGCAGGGGTGGAGTAGGAGTTTGTTCTGAATATGCATGTCTTAGATGAGAATCCGGTAGTGCTTTGAAGGTGCATGGCTAAATGAGAGGTTGGCACTATTCTGAAGAAACATTTTCAGACAAGAAACAAAAGATTCCACAAAGTGACAAAGGGAACACAGAGATTAAAAAACAAAAAAAAAAGAGCCTAAAAGATTCCTTTCAAGTGGAAAGCAGATCTATTCCAAGAGCCAATTATACCTTTACAGAAGTGAAGTCAATTGTGTGGGATATGGCTGGTGATACCAACAACCTTGGATCAAATGCATCCACCACAGGCTGAACAATAAATGAATTAGGAGAAAAATAAAAGATTAAATCAAAATTACAATGATATATGCATCATAACTAGTACAATAACTGCCAGTATTTTTTTTACATGCTCAAAATGAGAAGTCATTGCCACCAAAACAAAGAAGAAAATTGCACAAAAAAGGTTGAACACAAGGAGTAATGTGAAAATGCCTAACCGATAAAAAAAATTAATTGCTCATGTAAGAAAATATGATCATATATATATATATATATATATATATATATATATATATATATATATATATACTAAATATCAGTGTCAAACATCTGAAAGAAGAAAAAAAATCAGAGTTCAGTGATCAATTCAGTGCTACTGAATGCCACCCAAGCGACTCACCAACTGAACTTTTGATCATTTGTTATTTTTGTAAATCGAAGATTATCTTCTTTGAATGTGATCACTAACAAAACATTATCTTCCCATCTAATTATGCTGTTCAAGGCCATATATACTGTACATTAAATCATGAGTTATAGACCAGATAAGACTTGTATGACTTGGCTCCTTTCCTTCTGCAGTTTAATACAGTACACACATTTGTCAAAAATAAAATAAAGGGGGTGGATGTGCTGGTTGGATTGTTTAGCAAAGACCTAACAACCAAGGAATATTCTGCTTGAAAACTAGTTCAAGGTCCAAAATGGCCCAACACATTCCTCCCACTCTGCTCTATCAATGGGCCAAATTTGAGCTCCAAAACCCTTGCTACATTGTCAGAATAAAGCCTTGTTTTAGGGGAAGTTTAACAATAAGATACTGAAACATTCAATAGTCTATACTAACTGTGGCGAACACTTACAAAAGGTGGGGTACAGGGCTAATGCAGCCTATAGGATTGAATAATTGGGTAATCCTGAGAATCGAGAGCGAGAGAGAGATGGCTAATCCAGAGGGTACCTTATTTGGTTGATGGATCAGATTAGCCATGTCATCTCTCCAGAGGGGAAGAAATATGACAGGCATTGTATGGAATCCCACTATTTGACCCAACTACTAAACCTTTTTCCCAAAATAAAAAACATCCAACACCATATAATGTTAATCAGCATCTTTTGCATTCAGGCCCACAAGAATGAAAACAGAGGTTCAAGCCTGTAAGTGGCCAGTTGGTGCCAAAAATGTGAATTGTTAGGTCTGTATCTAGTCTAACCCCCTCCCAAGACCCTGGTTGTCCAGGACTGTCATTGGTAATGGCCCTTTAGCAACTTTTGCATTAAGGACCAATCCACCTTATCAGATAAGAGAGAATATGGAGACGACCTCTAACCTTAGTTAGAGATGATGGAACATCCAAGTACAGTTGCAACAAATATTATTCCAATGAACTGTGCCTCCCAAGTTCACTTCCACCAGTATTGCAAGGAAGCAAAGGTGTTTGGCAATCCTAAGACCATTCAAGAAATAGGCACCTCCATCAAATGCAACAAGTCCCCCCCATGTGACCCACTAAAGACCAAAATGATGCAGCATTGGTAGTGACACAGATCAAAGGCAACATTACAACATAGACATGAACACCAAGGTAGTTTCTGATGCTCAAATTGCAAACCTTAAATGGTAGCATTTTTATTGGTATCTTTAATTTCGTTGGTAAGAGAAAAAGTAAAAATGTACAGAAACCATACTGCCCCAAGGGGTGACCACAGTCACCTCAACCAATTCCATCTCCTTCTTGATGTGGCAAGCCCTTCCCTTTAATGTTAATGGTGCTTTCACCAGAAAGAAAAGAAAACAAGAAGGATAAAGGAAGTGACATCGAAGGAAGGAAAATCAACAACAGGTAGAACCAAACTACACAAAACCACCTAGGAATGGTGTCTCTCCAGACCAAAAACAGAACAGAAAAGTCTCACCACAAAAGGAAGAAGAAACCCTTTGTTTTGAGCACAAGTTGCAGAAAAAATTTTGGCAAGCTTTCATTAATTCTAAAATGAGGAATAATGCCTTTTGTAGTGGTGGATGTGTTTGCTTCTGGGGCAAAACCTTAGCCTGAAAAGCAAGACAGCATCTAATAGTATGTTCTCCATAAGAAACTGTCAAGTGGTGGCAAATCCACATATTCTTTTTCTTCAATTAAGCTAGTAAGAGACTGTGGACTTGTGGGTTTGGGCCTACATGTGTAGTCATTGTAGGGCTGCAAGTTGGGTTGCCAGATTTTTAAAAAAAAAATCACCTACACAGGGTTCAGGCCCATTGGAAATTTAACAAATTCCTAAACCCAACCCATCCCAAGTTGCATCCCTAACATTAAGGCCTGCAGACATGACCACATCAAGCCTTCATCCTCAAAAGATACACCACCAAGCCAAAATGTGCCATTTCCAAAAGATTTCCCATCAGGTCGGATCTTGAACACCCCTTGGGCCCCCTCTTCACCCAAAAAAAAGGTAGGATAGGCTCAATACTACAAGGCATTCATGCAAGGTGAGAGGAATGGAGCACACCAATCAGACCATTCCTAGACCACCATAACTAATGCCTCTCATCTCCTTCAAAATTAATATCTATAGGCAAGAAGACAAGGATACACTCTAATGACATCTAAAGAGGAAGATTTTTTTTCAAATACACATGAATTATCAACAACATCATTCATCATCTATAGTCAAGAAAGCAAGGATACACTCTAATGACATCAAAAGAGGAAGATTTTTATTCAAATACAAACAAATTATCAACAACATCAGTCATCCTTCTTCCAAAACCTACAGATCTAGGGGTGGAGGTTGACAGTGAGTCACGAGTGATAATTAGATAAATGCTAAAAGGGGGAGAAGGAGCTTAGTATCTTTGGAATATCATTAGAGAGGCATTGGTTTTCTTTTTCCTTTTTGGCATCAAGGTAAATATCATGTCTCATCAGATACCAGAATAAGCCAATAAACCAGCTGATTCTTTTTCCATACATAGGCAATGTATTAGAGCCAATATACTTCAAATTGTTTGTTTATGGTGTAATAGAAGGTTGGCTTCTCACCCTGTGGCTTTTCTGCCATCTTCCCTTATTGTGACTTATTGTGCATGGTCATAGACACAGGAATCAGAATTCAAAATGTTTCCAAGAGTACTTGGGCACCTGACGGTATGAAAAATGAACTTGGGAACACATCCAAATTAGTATTTACCATTAAAAATTCCATGTATTACAAATCCTGTTATCATATACATGTGATGCAGAAATGGAAGCAAAGAAAGAATCCATGGAGGATTAAGTCAGCTTTCCAATTCCTATATCAATTTCCGAATTTTTGGGTTTAGTATATTGGTACTGTTTCAGTTTTTTATTTATTTCAGTGTCTTAATAACATAGTCTATATCTTAGAATTTTATTTATGTTATTAAATTGAGTCTATAAATAGTCATTGTAATTGGAGTTCAAGAAAAGTCGATTGGAAGAAATAAAGTTTGGTTTAGTGAATTCTTGGTTGTTACTAGAAATTTCTCTTATTTCTTCTAAGCAATTTGTTTCTTTGTTGTATATCCTAGCAGCAAGAGTTCACCTCTTTCTTGCTAATTTCTTACTCATTCCTTGTTAAACAGAAAGCATTATACTTGCTTTCCATCCATATTCTTCGTCTTTAATCATCCACAGCCCCTCATTCACCCCACAAAGCCCACCACCAGATCTTAAATTACTAGGACCCCTACTGCAGCCTACATCACATACACAAGGTTGCATGAGTAAATCTAGAGGTTTATTTTTTAGGGTAAAAGACTTAAACATACCCTGAGTTTTCATAAATTAAATTAAACATCACCCTGAGTTTTTCGAATAGACTTAAATATACCTTATGGGCCGACCCCGTTAGACTTAAATATACCCTTCATTAGTAAAAGTTTCATTTAGTTTATATGTAACGTTATCTCGCCCGTTTAAAACTTGAAAACCCCTATTTTTCCATTCTTTCTTGAATTGAAGCAGATCATTTGTACCAGAGATGCCACCAAAATGCTCCAACACTGGTTTGTTTCCTCCTCTGCCGTTCTTGCAATGCTGTTGATGGTGTCCCATTGAATTGAAGGAATTATCTTACAATGAATCATGATCGACTAAACATTTTACATATGAAATTATAGTTTCTGCAGATTCTGATCTGACATAAAAAAAGGCCTCATTTCTGGTGATTGGTGCTACTTTGAAATTTTGCCTAGAAGGCAAAGCAACCAGCATTTATCCATGGTTTTATTCGTTTGGAAGTATAAGTTTGAAGGCTTTGAACATGTTATTTGCTTTTAGTGCATTCTTCATCCTTGTCTAACGACAGTGAAACAATGCTGAAAAAGTGTTAAAATTCCAAGCTAACTCTTCTTCAGATGAGAAATCTATGGTGTGTACTTGTATGACCCAAACACCTTCAGAATTTTGATAAATGAGCTATTCAGATTAGGAGGCATCAGCCTTCCACCACCAAAGGAATAAAAACTGGGTTTCTTTTCTCCCAGTTTTCTTTTCCGGAGAAATAAAAACTGGGTCTCAAGTCTCTACTGTATCCATTTTGATTTCATATATTAACTGAGGACAAAAAAGTCTTTCTACTGCATACATTTAACACACTAGGAAGAAGGTATATTTAAGTCCAATCTAAAACCTCAGGGTATGTTTAAGTCAATTACCAAAAACTCAGGGTATGTATAAGTCTTATACCATTATTTTTATTACCTAGAAAGTAGAAACAAAGATGAAATTGATCTTGAGTATTATTCTAATCTAAGGGTTTATTTTTATTACCTAAAAAGTAGAAACCAGGACGGAATTGATCTTCAATGCTATTTAAAATTCAGAACTAAGTGGAGGAGGCATTGGATACTCTGAAATAGAACGAGATAGAACGAGAAAATTTTGATTTGATTTGTTTAGTTTATGAGAATATGGAAGGATTAGAAAATTACAAAAATGACACTATTCATTTTGAACAATAAAGATTGATTAGTCCAAGTGTGACAAGTTTCCCAACAGGCCTTACAAGGAACTTTAGGAACTCTGATTAGTTGCTCGATCAATGAGTTACATTCATGCGCCATCAGTGCTAATATTGGCATGTTTAGGGTAATAGAAGAAATACCTAAGTATTCTTCTACTCTAAGGCATTATTTTTTTTTCTTTTGCTTCCAAAAAGGAATTGAGAAACACCCATGGTAACCATAAAAGTCAACGAAATTAGTAATTTTATACATGAATGTTTCGAGCAATATACTAAAGAAGAAAAGATTGCCAATATTGGCATATATTAGATATTATTTTATGTTAAATGAACAAGGAAAAAGAGGAAACTCATATGTACAAGTGTCCCTTTGCCTAATGCATGTACACCAAGGAGCCACTGACACTTTGCCTATTTAGGAAAGTCTATGTAACACTGTTGTAATGGCTGCATTTCTCTCTTGATTAATTCAAAGGGAGGGGGAATATGGTTTACCAACTACCAAAAAGATGACCATACAATTAACTGGAATCTCCTCATCCTAGATGCTAAACCAGTATTAAGCACTTCAAGTGATGAAAACCAATCTCAGTAACTACTTGTAGAGAGCACAATGTTCATGAAAGAGGTGCACAACAGACTCCCCAATCCACTTTTTCTTGCACGTGAGTGGGAATCAGTTTCTGTGCTCAGATCTACCATATGTAGGGAGCATCACTCTTATGATCAAAAAAGGAAAACCCTCAAAGAAAAAAAAAAAAAAGAAAAGCAAACATCCATTGGACATGTATAATGTCATGCTATTCCTTTGTGTGTGCTCTAAAGCATTGTTTCTTCTTCTGTAATGAATGCTTGGATCCACTGGACACATATTATGTCATGCTACTCCTTGTCAGAAAAACTCCCACATCAAGCGCATTCATCTGGTACACCCCTGACAAGGTGCATTTAAGTTTCTTAATATGATCCACGTATAGAAAACACATTTTTGCTGAACAGAATCAAATCAATATCCCCCCCCCCACAACAAAACATGCATTCTTGGCTTCATCGAGCATGATAATATATTTGCTTCAGGTTAAATATGCAATTGATGGTAACAATAAAGGGGCAAATACAAAAGTACAAAAACCAAAAGATATAGAGGCGTCAAAGATATTGGAGACAAACAAGCAAAATATAAATATCCTACTTAGAAGTGTGACTATTAGCAAGTACAAACTATATTCATGATGCATCTTCGGTAATTCAATTTTTTAGATGGTCAAGCAATGGCTGGATGAACTGTGCAATATATAACCTTGAAAGCTTATGGTATAACATTAATAAAGACCATGTTAAAGCCTATAAGATTTCCAGTTGATACTTGAGATATTCAACTCATCATATATACATGGATAGAATTGCAAAATGGTGTCACAACCAGTTGCTTATTAAGGTTCATGATTGAAAACAGAAATGACACCAATATATTTCAGAGAAAAGCAATCATGCGTACCTGAGAAAAATATCCTTGAAATGCAGATCCATACAAGGAAGTGAGATCAACGCCAAAGTAGTTCTGCTGCTGCCAAAAGAGGGCCTAGACACCCCAAAGGAAAAACATACGGAGGACCAAGGGTTAGAGTAAGATGTGAGGAAACAATATAAAAAAAAAAAAAAAAAAAAAAAAAAAAAAAACATGTGAACCTTTTGGAAGAAACCAAAGTTGCAAATATTAAGAAGCAAAATTTACAAATGAAACTACACAAACAAGCTGTACAGATAAGAACTCCCACAGGCAACTAATCCATAGTGAAAGTTACAATATCACTCTATACCATACTCACTGAGCTCACATCTGCTGCAACCATGATTGCTGCAAATTTCCAACTGCTCAATAAAACACTGACACAATCCCCATTTTTCAAAATTTAAAACACTGGGGGTGATCTTTTTTTTCTTGTATGACTAGTTTATCCATGTTGGGAGGTATCAACATTTTTTCTGCAACCAAACCGTGCAGCTTCATATTCATGAAAACACATAAATGTGAAGACTGAAGACACTGGAAAGACAATACTTCTTTCATCTTAACTAGAAATCATCAACCAGGTTAACTAAATGTCAAAGAAAACTAAATAACCAAAGTTTAGTTCCGGAAAATATTCCTATACTTTTTTCCAGTGTCAACCATATATATCAAAATCATATTAACCCAAAGTTCAATAAGAAAAAGCAATATTAATAATATATTACTTAATCAACTCAAATTTACACTCAGCCGATAAACAATCAATAAACAGGACATCACAAGGCAAAAACTACTTCCATAGGCACTTTTTTATGGGTAAATGAGAACCTTTGTTCATTATGGAGAAGAATAATTATAATTTAAAATGAAGCTTGCCTAGCAACCCTCTTTTTAGGCCAGCAACTGGTATCTAACCCTTTGTTTACATGTTACATTCCTTGTTCATAATTGACCCTAAAACATTTCATGCCTGTTCACCCATTCTTGGCCAATGTAACTGCCAAGTCATTAGCTGCCCTTGGGACTCAATAGGCATTGATAATCATTCCTCTTCCTAGGCTTCTTTTTTCTCTCATGGTGTGTCTATGCTGCCAGGGTTCTTTGCTACCCTTTTTACCATCCAAACATAGTTTTAGTCCTCTTCAACTGTCACATTACATCCCTCATAGAGTTCCCATGCCCCCTGCCATTGAGCTGTGACTGAACATCTCCATTGACACCTCTAAAGTAGGGGTATAGATGGATTGGGTTAGGTCAAGGGCCAATAAATATGAACCCTAGCCTGGACACAAACTGATGTCAAAACCCAGATTTGCCCTCCAATACATTATACATGGAGTGAACTAATTTTCTTCTTATAAAAGTCTAAAGAAATCATTTCTCCTTTTCATAGATTATTAGGTTTTTCTCTATTTTTTATTAATTTAATGTAGATGTTTTTCATAGATTCTTCTGGTTCAACAATAAAATGTAGTAAGAAAGCACTTAAAATGAGCCTTTGGTTATCTTTGTCAGTTCAATTTTGAAATTGTTTTTTAACTTGGTTATTGATCTCATATTAAGCACATTTTTTTTGCTTTATAGGACTACAGTGGAGGGTAGTCTATTCCCCCAACCTTAGTGGCAGTGATATTTGAATCTCAATAGCTAAAAAGGAAAAGAAAATTCATTTTTTCTAATATTTTATATGTAAAGAACTAGAAATATATAAAAACTTTGGTAAGTCACTATTACTTCATTTTTCCCTTAAAATACATTTTTTAAAAGCAGCCCGTGCATCGCACAGGTCACCGCTAGTATCATTGTATTTTACTAGCTGTTTCTATTTCTTAAGTATTATACAAAATAGTACTTCGAAGGATGGTCATTTTCCAAAAAATACAAGCTCATAGGACAACCACCAATTTATAGATATTATTAAAACATTTTTCTTAGATTATATTCTCATATGTAAAATTTTGTGCATAACTATAAATTCTACAGTTGTTTTTAAATATTCATAAATCTCCTTGTTCCTTACTGTCATAGTGTCCTTATGTAACCTGAACTGAAAGTCTTTTTTCTATAACTGTCAAATTTTATTATTTATAAAGGAATAAGCTCACATATATATATACAAGTTCCTCCACTTGATTTTCTTTTTCTTTTTGCTTACAACTGTGCCCAGAACATTTGTTCCCTCTCTACACTTGGTGCAAAAACTGGGGTAGGTTTAAGTCCAGTCCACCCTTCATAAGGCCCCAGATAGGTGGGACTAGGATTGGGTAATGGCCTTTTTAAAGTACAATTGTATTAATGATTAAATATGAGAGCCCCCCCCCCATCAGTAACTAGATCAAAGAGGTTTACTAACATGAAGTTCCCAATGTCATGTGGAAAGAAGAAAATAGGTTCCTTCTCTTTGGAGATTAGTTAAACTTCTCTCTTGAAACCTGATGTTCACAATTATTACAACATGATAAACAAAGGAGGAACCAACAATGACTCATTTCGAGAAATGATAATCTCAAGCCTTAGAGGAAGCGGACATACATCACTAAGATTATATTCAACAGTGTATCAGTGGAAGAATCAAAGTGTTTCTCAATAAATGAACAGATAATTGCATTGACTAAAAATACCTTGTTTGCAACTTCAACATACAAGTATTCATCACTGAATGGTGCCATGTGTATCCTAGAGCAGTAACACAGTTTAACAAGTCAGAACCAAAAAGCAATTGATACAATAAATCTGAAGAAACATTAGATACCAGGAAGCTACAATCATCATCATCAAAGTCTTGTCCCAACCAATAAAGGTATAATAAACATAAAAAAAGAAAAGAAAAAAGCAAGTCCTCATTCTTCATTTATTGATGATTAATTATATGCATTTGTATGTATGCATTTGAAAAGCTGCAAAACAAGTTACCATCCTATGACTGCCATGGCATAAGGAAATTTGAGAAAGTATCACAATGATGATTGGTTGTGATTAGCCTCTGAAATAATCTGAAAAGTATACTGACAAGTCTAGTGTTTTCATTAGACTGAAGTCTACAAAGAGTAGAAACAAACTAGAAACACAACCACAGTGACTAACAACCAAAAAAATTGTTTCATGGGCCTAATAGCAAGAATATAACAGGGCATTGAAGATATAGTTCTTTATGCATCTAGAAATCTATTTTACAATTCAAAATTTATATCAAAATTACAGGAATAATAATTCAAGAACATAAAAGAAAGAAATACTTTATAGAATTTAGAAAAGAATGACTTCCAAAAATGAGAAAATTATATGACAAGCACATAAAGAAAATTTCCCTATCTGCAATTCAAATGAAAATGCGACTCCATCTCAAATGAAAAACTAATGAAAAGGATATGATAAAAGATACACATAAGGAGGGGGAAGGAAAGGGAGAAAAAGTTCCTCACTCTAGTAAATAAGAAGAAATAGATATTCATAAACCAATATAGGGAAGAGGAGAGGAAGATAGGAAGAGGGAGACTAAATTCAATTTATTATCCATTTGGTGGACCCCACAATTGGAATGCATTTAAAGGTTGAAATTTAAGAAATAATAATAAAAAAAGTCTAAGATTCTATTACCTAACATACAAATTCTAACTTGGCTCTGGAACATATTTTACATTTTCTTTTGATCGCCCTCTGGTGATGGAATGGAACAAATTTTATAATTGATAACAAGTATACAGCCCAAATATAACACATCCAGACAAGTGAGATTCAATTAGAAATTTGGTTTTGTGAAACTCAAATAGATAGGTGTATGTACAAATTTATTAGTCTTGCATCTCAATCAAATTTAAACTTCCAACTCCCAGGAAAAAAGAAGAAAAAAGTAAGATGCAGCTTACACTTGAATGCTGAAAACATTTAGCTGCCTAAAAATATCATTCAGATATAACAGGAAGTCAGGAACATTGTTCTACACCTCACAGTCAACGTTTAGAACCCAACCATGAATAATTCTAGTTAACCAGACCTTTCAACAATTAGTTAGGCTTAAATGATTAAATACATGGCCTAGCATAAAATAAGTTAAAGGGCATAAAACTCAGAATAAAAGACTTAAATTATCCTATCCCAAGAGAACAATCAAAAAATATTTATATAGTGGGGAAATTTGAATAAAAAGCCACTCACTAATTTAGTCCTATGAGGTTAACCAATGCCACTGAGAGAAAGTACAGAAGTATATTTAGTTTATCTTTTCTTTCTTTTTTCTTGGAGAGAGAGAAGTGTTAAGTATTGCATTAATAGCATGAAAGTATATGTAGTTTATGAAGAAATAGTTGGTTAGCCACGAGTGTGGGGTTCCATACCCACACTCAAGCTCTAGTGTGTGTGGTTTCATACCCACACCTAGTTGTTTCTAATTTTTTTTTATTAGTAGTTTCTAATTTCTGTTAAGTTGGGCTGGCTGGCCTTATTATTTCTATTTTTTATTTATTTCCTATTCTTGTAAGGATCCTAAAAGCTATAAATAAAGGAGTGTATGGGGCAGCAAATCATTCACCATTGAGCCCCTTCTTTCTTCTCTCTCTCTCTCTCTTTTCTTCTCTTCAAACCTGTAATACAGTAAACAGTTCTTCTTCTTCTTCTTTCAAGTTGGTATCAGAGCCTTAGATCTAGGGTTTCTCATGTGGATTTAATTCAGCCAACCACATGAGAATTGTTTAGGGCTGAAAGTTCAGAAAGATCCTTATTTCAGCTGATTCTTGGAGGTTGCAAGAAGGTTTTAACAGTTGTCCTAAGATTGGAGAGAGCTTCTTGTAATCAGGAAGAATCAGACAGGAATTGAGTGATCAAGACTGGAGGTGCCGATCAGTTTTTTCTTGGTTCTTTGATCAAGATTCAAGGTGCTGACAATAATCGATTGATCAAGTTTGAAGACTGAAGGTAGCAATCAGTTTTCTAGGCTTTTTTCTTCATAAAGTAAGTATCTTTTTCTTGAAATTGATACTCAAAAGGACTTTGTTATTCATTCAAAGAGGTACGGGTAGAAAATCTTAGGACTGATATCAATCCCAGAACAGTAGTTGACTGTTATCTAACTGCAAAATCATTGTCCTAGGTCGGCTGTTATCAGCCTTGAAATACAGTTTTTTTCTTGTCACGGTAGTTTAAAGCCTCTTCTTAACTTAGAATGGAGTACAAGAACCAAGGGGAAGGTGCTTTTGGGACTGGTTGTTCAGGTAACATGACTAAAAACACCTTTCAGATTACAACTGTTAAGTTTGATGGATCAAACTACTTGGAATGGGCCCAATCAGCCATGTTGGCTATTGGGGGTAGAGGAAAATTGAACTTCTTGCTAGGGGATGTGAAGGAACCCTCCAAGGAGGACCCTACTTATGCTAGGTGGGTCCAAGAGAATTTTTTGGTGATGACATGGCTGTGCAACTCTATGCAGCCACACATCAGCCGAAACTACTTGTGGGCCAAAACAACTAAGGAAATATGGGATGTTATGAAGGAAACCTACTCTCAGCCTCTTAATAGTACTAGGGCTTATGAGCTAAAATGTGAGGTTAAAAATCTGAGGCAAGGAGAGAAGCAGGTCTCTGTTTACTTTTCAACCTTAAAATCCCCGTGGCATGAAATTGACCATCTTGAAACAATTGAGTGAGAGAGTCAGAAAGATGCACAAACATATAGAAAGCAGGTTGAAACTAACAAAGTTTTTGAGTTCCTAGTTGGTCTGAACTCTGAATATGACATTGTGAGACAACAGTTGTTGATAAGAGATAGTGTGACTTTATCACAAGCCTATTCCCTAGTGCAGAGTGAAGAAACTAGGAGAAAGGTTATGTTGTAGCAACAACCCTCCGAATCAGCCTTGGTAGCAGTTAGACTTAAATCGGGGGGGATAAGAAGAAGGAAGCTAAGAAGGACTTAGTATGTGAACACTGCAAGAAACCTAAACATACTAAGGACGCCTATTGGAAGTTGCACCCTCATCTTGTTCCAGCAAAGATCAGAAATAAGAAAGGGAATGCTAGTATGGCTGTCAACACTGATAGTACAACTTCATCAGGCACAAGAGGCACTCCTCTAGATACCCTACCTACAGTCTGAGCTGCTCTGATTCAACTAGAAAATGAATTTAGTAATTCAGCTCAACCTACATCAGCTCAACAGCCTACTTCAGCCTTTGCTCATACAGGTACAAGAGCTACTGCTTGTCATGCTTCTGTCCCAGGTAATACTAGACCTTCCTGGGTAATAGATTCAGGTGCTTCAGATCATATGACCAGCATATCTACTCTATTTAGCACCTATTGTTTATCCTCTGAGAGAGACAAAGTTTCTATTGCTGATGATTCTCTTGTACCAATTTCTGGCAAGGGAGACATTAGATTATAAGATACTATCACCCTACCTCAGCTTTGCATGTTCCCAAGCTTAGTGCTAACTTACTTTCAGTTAGTAGTATTACTAAAAGTCAAAACTGTTCGGTAACTTTTTTCCCTGATCGGTGTATTTTTCAGGATCTGGAAACGAAGAAGGTGATTGGGATTGGCCTTGAGATGAATGGAGTCTACCTGCTAGAACATTCACAACAAGGTTTCAAATGTCGCCAAATGTCGCTAATTCGCCCGACATATGTCGATGTCGAGGCTCACCGACATGAAGATGGATGGTGATATAAAAATTACATTTATGTCGGTATACATTTCCTATATTTCGGAAATGTCAACCAAATTGGTCCAAATAACCAAAAAAAATACAGTTTTTCCTATTATGTCGACAAGATGTTGACTAATGTCAACAGGATGTCAACTAATGTACATTAAAAATATAATATATTAGCATATTATATTAATATAATACAGTATATTAATATAGATTATTCCATTAATATTTATATTTAATATTTCAAATAAAATATTTATAAAAAGAATTAACAAAATATAAAAACAAAAGAATAAATTAATTACTTTATAATATAAAACATAAAATATTTTTCAAGTAATAAAA